ATATACATATATACACACACACACACACACACACACACACACACACACACACACACACACACACACATATACATACATGTATTGCCCTGGACATTGGACTGCTTCTCTGTACACAGCCGAGGCGGTGAGTCAGTTGAACCGATAACTTTCCCCTCCCAGATCTGTCTCATCTATTCAGCTAAGAACGGAAATGCACTTAGTCAAGTGCTGAGTCATGTGTAAGCATTTCCAAATGTTAGAAAAAGGGGGCATGAGATGAGAGAGATGGGCTTTAAAATGGCCAATATATGAATAAAAGGGGACTAATATCAGTCACACTATGAGAGAGCCTGCTATATGCTGTGAGTAGATCATGAAGTGGTAGTAGGAGACAAAACGTTTGTGATGACTAAGTCCCATTATCTCCCGATCCCCGGGGTCACGACGAGACTGTCTGAAGGAATACCTAGATAGTCAGTTCCTATAACTGAACGTCGGTAGAGTGGTGGTTTAGATTCAGCTAATGACAGAAAGAGAGAGAGAGAAGTGCTGTAACAGGAGAAATCAAAGAGTGGCAATTAAACCGACCCTTTTGGCCGGGTTTCTAATCCAGGATGCCTCCATTACTGTTGCACTCACACCCATAATGAAGATACATTCATGTTGTGGCTTATCGTACAAACTACTATCACATAAGTCAAACCGATAGTAGCCAGGGGAGGCGGCACACTTCCTCCACCTCACACATAAGTGTTTATTCTGCACATAAGACACATTCCTGAGAAAAGGAAGATAATCTCACACAGGTTTGAGTACTGGAACTTGTGACCTTGACATGGTGACACACTGGACTCTCAAAGTATTTACTTTGTCTGCTTTCCACTTTAGGTTATTCAATTATTCTGTATAAGCACATTTTCTTGTTGAGAAATCCAGCAGAGTGAAAAGTGAGGCCATCGTTAGCGAGCATTCTTTATCCATAGGGCACTTATAGGAAGCAAACTGTTCCCGGATCAGGCCTACATGCTCGTATGTTTCATTGTGCCCTACAGATGTGTCGACAAACCACAGACTGGAAACACCAAAAAACCGCTGGATGAAAAACACAGGTTTCGATTCAATTTGCGCCCTTTTTGTCCCAAACTAGGACGACTGGAGCCATTGTCATGCGCGTTGCGTCAAATGGGAATGATCGCGTCGGTGAAGTATGTGACCGTGACTCAGCTGTGCTTCCGAGTTGAAAAGTTTAAACCTCGACAGAATAAAAAAGAAAACAGAACAATCGCTACGAACCACGATCCACTTTCCCTCTTACCTTCATGTCATAGCGCATCGGTGGGGTCCCAACTTGGGGAGGCTTTGGGTGGAGGAAGAAACGCCTCCGCCTCTCGGCATATCCCGTAGAGAAAGGAACTAGAGTTTAAAAAACAAAAAGGTATTCAAAGCGCAGAGGAAAGCCTTGTGTGCTCAAAAATGTATCCACAACCACAGCGGGGCGGTGCTGTTTTGTTATCAAACTAAGTTGTGTGCGCGCATATCACAATCCAGGCTTGCAGAGGACACAGCCCCCCCGTTTAAAATAAAACACACACACACACTAAAAATGGATGGAGAGGGTGGGGAGGGAGGGAGGCCCACTCGGTGCATGCAGAGTCAGACTTAACCCTTTCACTGCCGGATGGAAAATAATCTGAGCTCACTGGAGCAGGTGATCAGAGCACGCGGAAGAATCCCACGCAGGATTGTACCGCACAGCGACGCGCAAAGTCATCAGACTGCGCGGCGTAAATGGAGACACGCTGTTAGGACAAATCTGCTAAGACCCTATCTCTTTCTCTTAAATAACAGTGAGGCTCTAAATTATATTTTTAGCACATCACTGTGCAAAAAAAATCATCAATCTGCAAGTCATTTGATATTTAAATAGTACAGAGAGTACACAGACAGAAACATATTGGGATATTGCAGTTCTGCAAATACCATAACATGTGATACAGTGGGTCTAAACCTATAATTGTATACCACAGACCCTTTAATTTCCCATAGTTCAATGCTGGTAGCTCAGCAGAATGAGTGAACATCCCAGAGGGATTCAACAACGGACTGCATTTCCTCTTCAGCAGCCTTATGGTTGCATCTCTGCTCTTTACTTATTTATCACAGCTAATGGGATGTTGTCTGAAGTCACATGCTTATATCCATTTATACAGGAGCCAAATATTTTCTGTATTTACGTTAGCTTGGATTCTGTGCAAAGCAATCTCTGCCGTCTACTAGCTGTCTATATGGAAGTACAGAGGGATCATATCGTGACGCCAAGTGTGTAATGATTACCTAAGGCTGAGGGGGAAGTAGCAGGAGAGAGCAGTGGGCCTTGTGGCTGGTTGACTGAGCAGGATATACAGGAAATACCAGCTCCACCTTGAAACAACAAAGGCATGAGTCTTGGAGAATCGTGCACAGGCAAAGTGTACAAAAATCAGAAGTTTATCAAGCAGTGAACCTGCGCCTCTGAAACCAGGTATTTCTAGTTCTCACAAAGGTTTTAAATCAGTTTGTAGAGTGGGAGGACACGTTGACTTGTTGCTGCTCCCTGTTTAGTTTCCATGTGACTCAGGGATCAGGTTGGTGGAGCCAAACTTCATATACCACCTCCAGCCCTCCTCCTCCCTGCGTTGGCACCCCTCAGTCTTTATTTCTCCTGAAAACAGATGCCTGAACACTCTTTGTTTTGCAACAAAGGCCTGATGAGGTCAGTGCAGGGCAGACAAGCAGGCGAGGTCTGGGAGACCAGAGGGGGAGGAGAGAGGACCTGCTACTGCACGTAGGTGACATCATGTGGCAGAGGAAGTCTGACTTCTCTTGGGTTTCTGTGCATGAGCCAGAGAAAACAACATGAAATGTATGCGATCACTGATCTGCCCACTGGAGGATCCTGTTTCTTAAGCGTTGTTGTATGAATCTGTTTGTCTTTGCTGCCCTCTAGTGGATTTGTGTTTGTTTTCTGGTGGGTAGTGTTGTGTTTTCGTCTGCTTGCTTCTGAGATATTAGACTGTAGATTATTACCGAGGCCACATTCAACAAATTTACACTATAATTCAACTGTGCAATACCCTGCCATTACTACTGCACATTTCAAGAAATATTCTTATTTATACTATTCTTGCATTTATATTTAACACACTTAATAGAGCCCACTTCTCAACATTTTGTGTTCGCTTGTTTGCACTGTGAATGCTTATTGACTGTTTGATGCACATTTGTCATGCCTTATTTATTATTTACTTATATTCTCTACATATATACATATCCTTTGTTTAATTGTTTTCTTGTTTATGTGTAAGAGCAACTGTAATGTACCAATTCTACCCTGCATATCAATAGTGTTTCCGATTGTGATTATATAGGGTCCTTTTGACTGACTCATTTCTTTTAAAGTCGCGTTTATCAATTTGCTATCGTTTTTCCGCAATACCAACCAATATTAGTTGCTTATTTAAGAAACTAACAAATATTCACATTTGAAATGCCAATATCTTTGCATTTGAAGAATTGTTGATGTCCACTATCAAAATTTAAGCTTTAGAGTATTGATTTGGTTTCTTTGTGCCTTGGGAAATAATCCGAAACAATATTTGTCCTTCCACATTTGCGTGGTGCTGCAAAGCACCACAAAGAGACCAAAAGTTTGTTCTATATATACACACACACACACACACACACACACACATCTACAAAATACCACAGTAAAGTAAAGTGAAACTTCAGATGATGTTATGGAACTTTTACTTTTTGAATGGGGAGATGATGGGGTCCAATAACTTCTATAAATAAAAACTAAGCTGAATCTTGTGTGAAAATAGTTTCTATATTTACTCGTGTAACCAGCATGTGTCAGTGCATAATATATATATTAGTGCTGGGCAACGATTACAATTTTTAATCGCATGATGTTTTTGCAATTAATCGCATTGTAATGCGCAAAATTCAATAATGAATTAAAAAGTCGTGTATTGCGCAAGTACTGCTATATGATCAAAAGTACAACAACATTTGGTTTGCAAACATTTTAATTGAACAAATACGGTGCTTTTTAACAGTGTTCCCTTTACACAGAAGCAGTTCAAATATTTCTTGTAAATCTCAAAACATGAATGTAATCAAATTAAATATAAAAACAAAGATACTTGCCACTGCCAGGATATTAATGTTTTATCTAGTTTGTTATAGAAAAACAACTCGGCACCGTCTGAGCAACAGCAAGTTAACATTTATAAATCTGTTTTCTTTTCTGAACAGGGAGCAGCAGAAACATGTTTCTTTTATCAGGGAGCAGCAGAAACAGTCCATGTTCAGTAGCAAGTGTCCCTGTTAGATAGAGTGAGGTGAAGTGGTCGAGCACAAAAAAAAAAAAAAAAAAAAAAAAAAAAAATGTACACAGCTGGGTCCATGTTTGTACTGGATTTCCTTTGGAGAATCTCAGTCAAAAAAAACAACAACAAAAAAACACTTTCAGTGATGCAGGTTGAGTAGTTACAGAATGACAAAATTAACTGCATTCATTCCTCCGACTTCACATTTTCTCACTCTTCTGCACCAAGCCAGCTGCTAAGACACACGAGGTCATTTACATTTTCAGATGATAAAGAAACTCTCTTCTTCTGTACAATATGACCGGCAAGAGAAAACAACCTTTCACAGGGTACGGATGTTGCAGGTGTGGCCAAGTACTTCTGTGCAATGGAGGCCAGCCTGCAGTGTGAGCCTGCATGTTTGGACCACCACTCTAACGGACAGGCCTCTGTACTGATGGTGGGCTCCGCTCTGTATCGACGCACACCGTTCTCAACCGAGTCTTCCTCCTGTTCAGAATCAGACTCTGATGAAGCAGCCAACAGGGCTATCTTTTTCTTTGGCGGCTCAGACGTGGTTGCTTCCACAGGTTGCTCTGCAACAACCCTCTGTTCCTTGACTAAGTTGGTAACTGAGGCCCACACCTCAGCCCTCTCGGCTCTGGGTACACACTTGAGGTCCTTGAATCTCGGGTCCAATGCGGTAGCAATCTTCAGATATGCAATGTTGGCATTTTCCTCACGTGTCTTCAGGTCTGTTCTGAATGTAGACTTGAATTTGACCACGTAGGCAGGGTCATCATCTGAGCTCTCCATCACCCGAGAGAGATGGCAAAAAGCAGGCAGAACCACAGAGCATGAAACATACTTTTCTCCTCCCAGAAGTTCAGTCACATCCCTGCAACAGAAAACAAAAAAAAATCAAACCCATTTCAGTCAAAATGAATTGCATTCACTTACTTATATACACATATTCATGCTATATACACACACACACACACACACACACACACACACACACAATATATGACATATAATATACCTGCAGTGCTCCAGTAGCGTTTCCAACCTCTGCAGATTGTCCATTTCAGCTGTAGTCGGCATGGCAATCTCGGTGTCCTGTGTGGTGAGGACATCCCTCAGTGGCTGTTCGTTTCTGCGGACGCTTTTTATCATGTCCAGAGTGGAATTCCATCTGGTTGGAATGTCTTGTACGAGCGACTCCTTCTTTTGTCCGTGTTCAATTTGTTGATGTTCCAATTCTGCAGCACTTGCCGGACTGCGTTTGAAGTGGCCCACAACTTCTCTGCACTTGGCCAGGACATCGTCAAACGCACTGTTCAGCAGAGACACTGTGACGGAACGCTGGAGACTGTGCGCGACGCAGGGCACGTGTTCAAAGGGCAGATGTCTCGCACCCGCGATCATATTTCTTGCACTGTCTGTGCTCAGTGTGCTGACTTTGTCTGAAACGTTCCACTGCTGTGCAACATGAATAAAATGTTCCGCGCACGTTTCTGCAAAATGGCCGTCTTCTGTTTTCATCACAGTCAGAGCATGTGACTGCAGCTCCCACTGTTCATCGATGTAATGCACTGTAACTCCGAGGTGATTATGGTTACCCAGCGATGTCCAGTAGTCTCCAGTGAGAGCAACAGCTGGTGCACGTTGTAACGCCATTGCTTTTATAGTCCTCTCGACTTCATACAACTCGTGTATTCTTCTTGTGACGGTGCGTCTTGAGGGAGGCTTATACTTGTCGTCACTCGTCGCGATCCTAAGCATGTTCCTCAGACCGACATCTTCCACAATACTAATCGGCCTGCAGTTTGTAGCTATCCACTTCGTTATGGCATTTGTTAGCTCGTCTTGCTTTTGTTTATCTAACGTTGTACTTCTTCCACACGCAGTCAGCAGAAGGCTCTCTCCACTGTTTGTAATGGTGGGTGATTTGCTGTAATCAACGCTGTGTATTGCATTTAAGTGATACTTCAGACTCGAAGTACTCCGGTGATAAGAAAATACGCCTTTGCAGTGGATACAAACAACTTTGGTTCCATCAACTCCGCCGTATGGAAGAGGTTTATAATGAAAATGTCCATGTAAGAGCTCAGTACCTTTCTCCATTGTTCTGTCCCCGCCAGTTCTTTTCTGTTCCCGGTTCATGTGAGCGCTGTAGCAGTCTTAGGCCCACCCCAGATGCTCTCATTGGTTGAGACGCGTGATGACGCCCATCCCGAGCCAATCCTGATCAACATCCCGCCCCTCCTGTGACCCATGTTTGTCTGTGTGTGTATTCAGAGCCAGTGAGCAACGGATTTTCAAAATAATAATAATTTAAAAAAAAATGCGTTAACGCACGATAACATAATTGTCGGCATTAATTAATTAATACGTTAACGCGATAATAACGCGTTAGTTTGCCCATATATATATATATATATATTAGTGCTGGGCATATATATATATTTTTCTGTTGTGGAGAAAGGGCAAGCTCACATCGTGGCAGCGGCAGCAAGTAGAGGCACTTCCTGTTGCAAGCTCAGCTGCATACTATTACAATTCGGCATTTTTTTACGAAACCAATTACAACTACCAACAGTCATACCTTCAATGACCTTAATGTATTGTCACATATTGTCAAATAACGACAAATAAAGGCTAAACTGCCGCGGCACCTCTCCCAAACAGTCCTAACTGAAGCGACAAGTTGTTGTGGCAGCTGAGCTTGCAACAGGAAGTGCCTCTACTAGCTGCCGCTGCCACGATTAGAGCCAGCTCCTGCTGGGGATGTGACCGAACTTCTGGGAGCCGAAAAGTATGTTTCATGCTCTGTGGTTCTGCCTGCTTTTTGCCATCTCTCTCGGGTGATGGAGAGCTCAGATGATGACCCTGCCTACGTGGTCAAATTCAAGTCATTCAGAACAGACCTGAAGACACGCGAGGAAAATGACAACATTGCATATCTGAAGATTGCTACCGCATTTGTCATTCTGTAACTACTCAACCTGCATCACTGCAGCTCCCTGATAAAAGAAACATGTTTCTGCTGCTACCTCGCAAAAAAAGCATGCGATTAATCGCGATTAAAAATTGTAATCGTTGCCCAGCACTAATATATATATATAATATCATATGCTAACATAGTTGTATAATATACAACTGACAGCCATTAGCCTATACTGTGACTAAGGGCAGTTTAGTAATAACAATGATACACGACTGAGCCCTTCACAGAGGGAAATTATAGGAGCAGAAGTAGCATTAACTCTTGTGTTTTGTTGACTTTTTAATATTTTTCTTTCCTTCTGACCTTATTAAAACCAAAATATAAAGTCCAATTAGCCATGAACTTACATCAAATACTGAAATGGATCTATACAGGGATTCATCAAACCTCTGTTGTTTTTCCCATCAACACATGGTTTTCAGTTTTCTCTGAACTGCACTATGGCAACCAACCTTGTCTATCTGTATGGCTGCATATCCAACCCACTCTTCAGATTTCCAGAAAGAGACTGTTATGTGGGCTGCTCATCCAGAGTGGCCTTGGTTTGTGCACAGGGTGGTGTGATGGAGAAAAAGCTGCACTTATTCAATATGTTCTGGCTCCTGCAATCAACCAACAAAGTACTGTTCAAATGTACTTTTAAGTCAGGTGTCCTTCAACTTTCTTGAGTTACCTGACTAAATCTTCACTCTCAATTAGAGATATACCATATTTATTGACACAAATGAATGCATTCATGTCCTTCTCTATAAAGCAAAGGTATATGATTTGTATATAGAGCCCTTATATTGACGTCTTCATCACTGCATCCCCAGGCTTTATGAATCCAGCATAGAGGGAGCTGTTTCTCCATCTTCACCCTGTGTCGTGATCACTTCAGAAAACAATGAGGTTTGCAACTACTGCTCATAACAGCCTCGTGAATAACTAACTCCCAGATGCACAGTTATGTTTGGCTGCACTGGACCGTATTTTATAAAGTGGCTTCTGTTGGGAGAACACTGTGTGATGCTTATAGTAACATAAAAATAGAATAAAAAAGCAGGAATAAATAGAACTGATACCGATGATTATTGTCACCATGACAGCTACAGAATGAACAGAGTTAATTAGTGCTCACACCTCCAGTGTCCATGACAACAGGGATTTGCGGTAGATATCTGGACACTATGTCCATCAGTTCATTCATCCATTTATCCATAATGAAGCAGGAACACCTGAACGTGAGGTGATTCAATAGTACATTCATTAAGTCAGAACAGATGAGAATGTTTTTTTTTTACAAGGGTTTTGTCCTGGGACAAAATGTTCAAAAGCATAATATAAATCTGATTTGGATAATTTTGACACATTTGGACAATAACACATTTGGAAAACTACTCTTTCTATATATTTTTAGACTATAGGAAAACTGCAATGGTGTAAAGTGGAGATCTTGAGTGCTGTTTTTGTTTGTGGCTTTGTGCTTCTATATAAGGAGCGTGCTCTCTGGATGAGACGGTGACGCAGACACTGCGCTAGGTGCTTGTGTATAAGAGGGGCCACTCGGCTTTGTTAAGGCGCACACATGGGGAAGCCACTGGGTTGGTAGGATTTTGATAGCCTCGTCTCGGTGTCTGGAGACGCTCGAAAGAACATGGAGGTGAACGCAACTGAGAAGATTTACCTTCCCGGTAACGGCATCCTCGAAATGTTCAACTCTCTCACCGGGCATCACGAATCAGACATTATGCGCCCAGTTCTTCAGAGCGCAGCCCTCACCACAGTACCGCAGCACCCCAAAGTCTCAAACATATCGAAGACGAGCATGGGCATCATCAAAACGGTTAAAGGGCGCATGAAACATCAAGATAGAAGAGCGGTTTCCCGAAGTAGGTCTTCCAGTTCTGGCAATCCGCAGGTTTCGACCGATCGACTCCCAAAAAGGTCCGTGGATCTGCTGGAGCTGGGTCTGACCAAGCGCAAGAACTGTCTGAGAATAGTTGTGCTCGGCGCACCCAAAGTAGGTAAAACCAACATCCTCCAGCGGTTCTTGGGTAAAGACTTTGAAGAGCACTACGAACCCACAACCGAGGACTTCCACAGAAAACTGTTCCACATAGGAGGGGAGGCGTATCAGATAGATCTCCTGGACGCAGCTAGTGAGAGGAACTTCCCTGCAAAACGGAGGTTATCCATACTGACAGGTGAGCGTTATGAATCACTGCAGTTGTTAGGTATCAATAAGATCCTTAGAAATAACATTTTACAAGAGAGAAGCTGTGCATGTGTGGTGTTTTAGGAATATGATTTAACATTAATATGTCTTTATAACCTCAGTGTGAAATGTATCCCATTGTCATTCATTAACGTGATGCTCTCTCTCTCTCTCTCTCTCTCTCTCTCTCTCTCTCTCCAGGTGACACCTTCCTGCTTGTGTTCAGTTTGGATGACAGAGAGTCCTTCGATGAAGTCTGCCAGCGGCTCAACGAGATCAAGGCTGCCAAGGCAAAGCTGCTGAATTTAAAACATCCCGCGAGGGCGCCAGTCGTGATATGCGGAAATAAAGCGGACCTGGCGGCACCGAGGGCCGTCAGGCGGTCGGAGGTGACGGAAGCGCTCGGCGAGGACGTCGCGTTCTTCGAGACCTCTGCCAAAGACGGCACCGGCATGGAAGGTGTGTTCCGGGCTCTTGCCACTCTGGGTGGACTGCCCGACGAGACGAGTCCGTCGCGCCATCAGACCATATCCATCCTCAGCTACCAGTCGATGTGCATCGGCCAGCGGGGCAGGAGAGGGAGCCGGGGACTCGGCGCGCCCTGCGCCGCCGTGGAGCCTCTGGCGCGCCGCCCGAGCTTCACCAGCGACCTGCGGCTGGTGCTGAGATCCAGCACCAAACACAACAAACCCGAGAGGTGTCACATTCAATGAATCGTGCGCCTTCTCGATAAACCAATTGTAGTAGTATGCTGCAATGTCATATTATGTAAGGGGTTATACTCTGCAGCACCTGGCTGGACCAGTGCGTTCATCTTTTGTATATGTAAACTGTATTTATATAATCCTATAATCCTAATAAAACATTTATAATTGTCATACGTGCCTCTGCTCTATCATTCAGTTTAATTTCAGAGGATTTAGGAAACAGGTCAGTGAGACACATACTGTTAGATTGAGCTCACGGACGTCAGTAATCAATTGTTTCAAGTGATGATGATGCGAAATATGACCATAAGTGTGTGGGAGGGAGCTCCTCGGTGTGAGGAGATGACTCACACAGCAACCTTAAAGTCTTCTAGTATTTGTGACCATACATGAGAGATTGTTCACATCTTAAAATCCTCCCACGGCGCTGTGGCATCAAGAGCTGAGGTGTTACAATGCCTGATTAATCAGCACGAGTAGCATACACACTCATGGGTCACTATGGTGTTTGGAGGGGAAAAGCATCGTTTATGAAAAGAGGGGGGAAGGTGAGAGACGTATTGGACTCTGTGAAATCAGCACCATGGAGAGAGCCCTCATCAAACTCTGCTCTACCACCTAGTAGAAAGTAAATGTATTAAACACACTCAGCCTTTTCTTTCTTACATATCCAACCCACTATTCTGGTTTCTGAGACGAAACGATTGTGTGGACTCTTCCTTCAGAGCATCCTTGGTTTGTGAAAAGGATGGTTTGACTGAGACAAAGCCACAGTTATTGAGCAATAGACTGACTTGGAGCTGCTATGTTCAGTTTAGCACTTTAAAGTCATTTAATGTACGACACATCTGCCACTGTTTCCTTTCTAAAGTTCATCAGTTTTTTAAAAATATCTTTATACGGTGTAAACTAAAACCAGTGTGCAGTCACTGAAGCCGACAGAGGTGCTGCAGAGGACTCATCACTATACATAAGCCTCATGAATCATAGCAGAGCTGTTTCACCAGTTTGTTTTACCCCAGATAGCGTCGTGATCACTGCAGAAATCAAGTAGTCCTGCTCATAGCAACGTCATGAATGACAATATCACAAATGCACTGTTACGTCAGGCTGCGCAGGCAAGTATTCTCAAGTGGCAACAACACGTTCGAGTCAAATGTGCACTTGTGCTGGAACTGACGGGATCAGTATGCGTTTATGAATCTCTCTGGCTGTAAGAACACTCGTTCTTAGCAGAAAGTGAGAGGATATACATTGGTGTTCATCACTTACTGTATATTCTCTCCTGTAAGGTTTGTTATTTAATTGATATGTTGCTGAAGGAGCTGTTCAAATAAATCCACATCAAACTGACACTTACGAAGTAGAAACACTTGGTAACTCTAGAGAAATGTCGGAGACCGTTAGACTTTTGTGAGTTTAGTTTGTTGAGTTTATAAGCAGTGAGGTTGCCAGAGGAATTTCCTTCAAAGATCTGCTCAGACTCAACAGAACATTGTCTCTATTTCTCTCTATTTCCTCTGTAATCAGTGACACATTTCATACATTCTCCAGGAACATTCCAAGGAAATACTTAGGAAAGTGTTTCAACTAACTTATTTTCAGTGTTGCTTAATCTGGCAATTACTTTCTGGATTAATTAAATGATTGTTTGGTCTATAAAATGTCAGAAAATGTCGTTCAGTGTTTCACAAAGCCCAAGATAACGTCCTCTAATTTACTTCCTCTAATTCTTAATTTAATAGTTGGCCCGTGAAACAAAATCTAAATGATTTTTCTCCCATTTAACTATTCATAAGGTGGGTCAGTTCATAAATGAATGCTCCAAAAGAGAGTTGAAGTCTATTTTAAGAATAAGACACAATTTCCTGTGTATGGGGAGAGATATAATCATGTTTAGATGACATTACAATGACTTACTGAGAAATGTTCAGCACAAGCAATAATTGCATGATAGCGCCTAGAGACTATAAAAAATATATTAACATCTAATGTTCTGAGTCTCCAAACCAGAGCGGCAGAGTGAATATAATATAAACGCCCGTGGGGCCCGTTTCATTTCTCTATTAACAAATACAAGACTATTCCCAATGCAGCAGCAAAGTAACACTGAAGAGGAAAAACTTTAATACAATGTGAAATCTGGCAAAGCCTTAAATAAGGAATTTCAATATTGAAGATGAAACCAATATAAATATCTGCCTGTTTTCAGGATTTTACACCCTCCTGTCAGTCTAACGTCTGTGGAGTTATCTGCTGTATTGACATTACGGTCATCGTGGTCTGGAGGTTTGGCTTTTTGTTTGTCCATCAAGCATGGTGATCACTTTGTAGCCTCTGACTGATTTGTCTTTCCAGTTCCACCAGCAGAGCTGGCAGTATGCTGTCCAGTAAGACCAGTCCATCCCAGGAGCAGCGTAGACCTCTGATAATAAGGAAAGGAGAAAAGTAAAGATAGGAGATTCAGACACAAGTGCAAAGCTGCAACTATTAATCGAGTAATTGTCGTTTTTTAAAGCAAAAATGCCAAACATTCCCCGATACCATGAATCATTGCAGCTTTACATAAGCGAGAAATATTTTTCTCACCAGTAAAACAAATAAATGTTTGAGTTCATGTATTGTAAAATGTCATAAGTCACCGGTCATCAAGAATGAGGTGTCCACTCTGGAGCAACTCTTGGACATCGCTGGATGTGCCAAAGACTTCAAAGAGACCCAGTTGAGGGCTAAACATCTCCCAGTGCTGAAAGAAAGTGATCAACATTATCACATGGACCAAGATGTGCTGAATACTGAACTTCTGCACTGGCAGAGAAGATCACACAGAAACTATGTAATAGTTCATGTCATGCAGGTATAAACCTCACCTTGTGATTAATGCCATCCGTCATCCTCATTCCCATCACCAACACCTCCTCCAACCTGCAAAAGAAGCATCTTTCATCAGAGAACTTCTCGGTGACTAGACAATGACAGCACAGGGGACAGAATGTCGCTGCACATGTACAGCGACCTGCGACACTACGTTTCTCACGCTGTGGATTGGCCGATACACAACTGTTATATTTCACATGGAAATGGCAGCTGCCAAATACACTTATTACAAGACACCACACTTTTGCCTGTAAGTGCTAACAGCTCACAGTTCAAGATGGCTGAGCTGAATCCGCCTACGTGTCCCATGTCCCCTCTGCTGGACTTCACGGATCCAGGCGTCAGGGTCCAGAGTCTGGGTCCGCGCCTCCCGAAGGACCCCTCCCTCCCCCAGAGGAACAAACCGCCCGTGTGCTCCTGCCACGGACAAAAAATGTTAAACTTTTAGCACTTCCTTTGATCGGTGCCTTCAATCTAGATAGCAGCTCACCTGGACCGACGCCGATGTACTGTCTTCCCTTCCAGTAGCTGGTGTTGTGATGACTCACTGCCTGCTTTGTGACACAAAGTGAAGCGTTATCGTGTTGTCGTGATTGTTCCTCCCAGACGCGTTCATGATGCAGTGTGGCGCAAAGAAAAAAAAGTGACATCTGCCTTGTTGATGGTGACGTCTCATCAAAAACAAAACAGAGAAGCAAAACTTTTTGTTTCAGAAGCAATGTCTCTTTTCTAAATCTTCCTAAAACTCATCATTAGATGTTTACTGATATTCTCCATTCTTTTATCTTCACTATGTTTTCTATCTGAAGTTATTTGTCTTATTAATGTTGTTGTGCTCCTGATATATAAAGCACTTTGCATTAAGGTTCTCTGCTAATGAACTTTCCTGTATTCTTTATGAAAGAATCAATGCCTCCTACGGTGTGGAGGGCGATCAGTGACCTTTCCTTCTTACATGTCTTGTGAAGTTAGAAACTTCATACTGCAGAAGGCCGTGCTGGTGGAGAGTCCTCCTCGCACACCGGTACATCTCTGCCGTCACGTCTTCATCGGGCACGGTCACCTCTCCTCCCAGCACCTGTTTGAACAGCTGGGTGCCTCGCTCCAAGGTCAGCTGGTACAGAGACACGTGGTCATCGCACACCCTCAGCAGCTCAGACAACTCCTTCTCCCAGGATGCAACGCTCTGTTTGGGCCGACCGAACATGACGTCCACCGACACCCGCCCGGGGCACAGCCTCCTGGCCTCTTCGACAGTTTGCAAAGCCTGGTGAGTGCTGTGGTCTCTTCCCAGACTTTTCAAATCCTCATCCTGCAAAGACTGAAGAATTGGAAATGTGATACGTGCAACTACACAGTTCATAATCTAATCTTCTGCCATCAGTCCTCTGTAGATTATATATTCACCTGGACCCCGATGGAGAAACGGTTCACCCCCGCACGGCAAAAGTCCTCTAACTTTGACTTTCCTACAGGAGTAGGGTTGACCTCAAGCGTGATCTCGGCCTCATCTGAGAGATACGCCCGCCTCGAAACAGTTTGGAGGACTGCGGCAATGGTCGAGGGGTGAGCCAGGCTTGGAGTCCCACCACCAAAAAACACTGAGGTGATGCTGTGGGGAGGAATCAAAATTAAAAGGTGGTTTAAGGCACGCGTTGAAAGCTGATTTCACGCGGAAGAAAGACGATCAGCATACCAGGACACCTGACTGAGCTGCAGCAGTGTCTCAGTCTCCCGCTGAAGGCACTCGGTCATTACGGGGTCATTGTTCTCTCTGGGTATGTACTTGTTAAAGTTGCAGTAGGAGCACCTTCTGAGGCAGTAAGGCCACTGGAGAAGAAGAGGAAGAGAGGGGGAAGGTCACTTTGACATGATTTGGGCAAACTTTCTAGACTTTGCAATAAAAAAAACTAGACATACAATATATTTGATTCAGTGCATGCGTCGGTATGCATATTTCTCTGCATAGAACTATTTTTATCAGTTAAATCGACCAATGCTCGCTCACGTGCACGTAGAGAGACGCCTGCTTTGTGAGACGTGGAGAGCCGGTCCGTTCGAGTCCGTCCTCAGTGACTCCTCCGCCGGAAGTCTCAGAGAAGCAGCGCAGACCGGGAGAGACGGCACGTCGGCCCGCGCGCAGCGTGTGTTTAATCATTCTGTCGGTATATTTAATTAACTGTCTGTCTTACGGGCGTCCTTCACTTGGACACATGGTCCCGGACAGCGGCAACATGAGTCAGGCTCCACCATACAGATACAAATTGTATTAAAGTTTACATGACAACAATGTGGCCGAAGTTTCTTCAAAGTGGCGTAAACTCATTTTTTTGGGTCTGTTTTCTTCCTGGTAGCTGTGACGTCGCTCCAAACAGGAAATACGTCAATGCGACTTCCTCTGTGTGTGTTACGTGGTTTGACCACACAGAGGGGCTGTTTTACTGGCGTTCAGTTAGGCCCACCGTTATGTGGACAGTGACTCTACTTTGTGTTTTCACCTGCTTTTGTAATGTAAACGTTTTAGAAATGTGATTTATAACAACCAATAGATCAACATAAATGATTGACTTCATTAATATCCATGGGAATACAGGACAGTGAATATACTAAAGAAGGCACCTGTTTGTTTTCCAATACTGAACCTACTAAAATATGAATAATACAGCTCTGTCCACAAGTCTACCAAGTTTCAGCTTTACAAGGCTAGTTAGGAGTGATCCTAGGCGTCCGTTTGTGTGCCAAACTTATCCAAAACCTCTCCAAAATGGCTTAAATGTGCTTTTAAATGTTTCAAGATTTCTTTTCTTTTTTTGTTGGTGGCTTTTCTATTTTTAAATGAATAATGGTGCATGTCCAGGTGCCTGATCCCTCTAGGAACTTGTTAAGCTGTTATTACAGATCCAAAAACCTACAATAAGTACCAAAGGCCATTGTGAATACTGTTATTTGTGCTTGCAAAGACAACTAGTCACAACAAGACACTAGTCTATATTTAGAATATAAATGTGTGCTCTACTCACACAGGATCAAACTAATTTAATGAGCTATTGATTTTTCAGATCCCAGGAAAAATACGCTGTCTGGTGGACTGAGATAACCGCGTAGGGTCACATTTTAAATTAGAGTGTCATTTTAAAAGAATAACAAAAACTCTGTTTGAATGTTTATTAATCTATTCACTAATCAGGGTTACAGTTAATTAAATGTTTTATATGTCAGTCACCTCTGCAATCAGTTCTTGTCATCTTTAAATAATTACCTCTGATCAGCGCTTGTGGATGATGATGATGGTTACAAATGACTTATGTGTGGCTATATAAAATGTATAAATCCCCCCCTCCATATTCACAATTTCACTAAGGAACTAACTGCAAAAGTATAAAACACAGTAGTATATTAGGTACTTAATCCAAATATTTCATTAAGAATGCCAATAATTGTGAATGCGCTCCCTGCCAGCATACAACCCTGAGGTAATTTTCCACTCAATAGTACAAATTACCTAATCAACAGAGAGAGAGAGAGGGAGAGAGAGAGAGAGAGAGAGAGAGAGAGAGAGAGAGAGAGGGATGTGTTTTCATTTTCATTGAATATATGCAACGCTCATGGTGATGACTTCAGTCCAGGGAGAAGCAGGAGAACTTTGTGATAATCCAAATTAAACGAGTGAATCTGTGCTGTAGATCTGCCAAATGGATAAGAGGAAGAAAGGTAAGATTACTGATGTAACATATCCAGGGGTTTAACAAATATGTAGCGTCAGTTTTTAGCCACTGCTGATTGCAGTCGGCTTGTTTTGTCAGTTCACAACCTCTTTGGTCCAGACTGAAACAACAGACATTTGTGTTATCCTGCGTATGAATCTGGATAACTTTGGTGATCCTCTGGCTTTTCTTCTAGTTGATATTTGTGTTTTTGAGTGAAATGTTTGATAGATTGCCATGACATTTTGTATAGCATTCATAACCCCCTCAGGATGAACATTAGTGACCCTCTGACTTTTCATCTAGCGCTTTCATCAGGTCAATATTAGAATTTTCCCGTCTGCTTTTAGCAGCACTTCTGCATTCTGTGCCGACTGGCAAAAGTTATCATGCTAAACGGTAAACATGGCATTATACCTACTACACATCAGTATGCTAACATTGACATTGTGAGCATGTTGCCGTGCCAAAGTAAACATTTAGCCCATAGCACAGCATCAAGATACAATCGCAAGAGAATGAAACAGTAACAATGAGCAAACGCACAATACTTCTTACATTTACCTGGTGTTATTCTTAAAACAAACTTCACTTTGTCACAGGATCTCCTACAGAATTAAGGCTTATGGTGGTTGGCAGCAGTGGACCTTCGCAGTTCCTACTAACAAATCACATACTTGGGAGGAAAGAGTTTGCGAAGAATATCTCCTGCATTTCCGGCAGCAGGAAGACTACCGGAGAGCTAGCTGGTAGACGGGTGGCTGTGATCAATGGACCAAACTTCTACGACAAGGGTATATCCCAAGTCAAGAGGAAAATGGAGTTGAGGAGGTCCAAGTGCTTGTGTATTCCTGGTCCCCATGTCTTTCTTGTCACCTTTGACATGGAGAAAATATCCCTGAATGAATTGAGAACCCCCAAACTAATGAAGGAACGCTTTGGAAGACACTGTCTGAGGCACTGCATGGTGATCCTGGCCTATGAGGGAAACCTTGAGGGAGCTGCCCTGGAAGACCGGGTGCAGAAGACTGACTGGCCCCTGAAAGAATTGATCGAGCAGTACGGTGGACGCTTTCATGTTTTCAGCAAGAACCGGAGATATCGCAGCCGAGACAGAGAGCTGCTGCAGAAGATAGAGAGAATGGTGGCCTCCTTAGGAGGGGTCTGCTTCTCCAGCAGAACCTTCCTGAAGGCAGAGGACTGCGTGGAAAAGGAGGTGAAGAAGCTCGAGAAGCAGAGGATGGGAGAGATAGAGAAGGCGTGGACTGAGATGGAGAAAAAATACATAGCGGAGGATTTGTGTCACCAGAAGGATACCTACACCGCCAATGTTGGCGCAGAGATCCGAGCCAAGGCGGAGATGGACAACGGATGGCTCAGAACCTCCCTGGCAAGAGGAGTGGGTACGGGTTTTGTTGTGGGAGCTGTCATGGGTGCATTGTTTGGGTGCATAGAGGGGCCAGGGGGGATGGTTCTTTATGGGATCATAGGTGGTGCAGTAGGTGGATCAGCAGGAGGAACAGCCCAGGTAGCTATAGAGCATATGGAGGACAGAGTGGCCCCTCCTGCCAGACTCAACTTTAACTCAATCTTCATCAACCGCTTCTTTGCTACTCCTCGTCCATGACAGTGTGGTGATGACTGATTATGGCCTGTTTTTCTGGAATAAACGGAAAATAAATAAATATATATCTTGGCCTCTTTGTAATCTAACTGTTGCTTATGTAGCTTTCAGGCTGACTTGATACCAAACTATATAAGGAAATGTGCAACTCCCCTTCGGTTGAGACTGAAAGTTAAGCTTTACTATGCAGCCTGAGGGGTTTAGTCATGGTCAACAATAAATGTCATGGTTGATTTAAACTGTAAATGTGTAAATTGAATAAATGACATTGAGTTTTGTGACACAGCATGTGCGAGTTTGTTCTTTGTTAACCACATAGCATTTTATTTAACCTCCAACATTTCCTGGTGCCTCGCTGTAGGTGACGAGTAGCTCAGATAACATTCAGGGTGGCGTCTCAACTGAGAGTGTCATTGTCTAAACGCACTGCCCCACAACACACACACACACACACACCTTAGTGCACCTATTCAGTGTAAATCATTTGCAGTCTCTACATACCTGAAACTGTGAATAGAAGCAGTGCGGACTGAGTTATCTGGACAAGATTAACCTGGAGAGGTAAGATCACACTTCACTCAGTAAATATTTCACATTAGTTTCTGTTTTACTTTTGGAAAACTACTTTTTTTGTCAATTAATTCAGACTTTAAAATCATTTATGAAGTGCATAATCAAAGAGTGTTTCCGACATGAATGTCAGGACAAAACGTTTTAGTAGTTGCTGCTTTGTTTTGACTTGTACTGCTCCCCAGTGACGCATAAACAGTGTGGTTGCTACCTGTTTGACGACATACTTTACATTATATTAGCTGTTTCCGTTCTCTGTTAGTATATCGACTCGATCACAAAGAAATTCCTTTTAACTGAAACATGTAGGATTATGGCATTAAGAAGAGGAAACAATTAGAGGATTAGGCTTCACCGTGGGGAGCTTTTACCAGTGAAATGAATGTTACTTCACTCGATTAAAAGAATAAGTCATGTATCCTGGACTTTGTGTATCATTACATAATATGAGAGGGGGGACATTCTGCTCAAGAACATGTCCTACCATTTGTCCTGCGAGTGTGAATGCTGCATAGCTGAGTTAAACATATTTGTTCTTTCACATTTTAGAGAAAATGCTCCTTTTTTAAGCAGTCAGTGGGAAGTACGTGTAGTTCAACATGGAATAGTTGATTTGATATTACAATGCATTTATCAAATTTGCACTATGAAGCTTTGAAAGATAGCCCTGGAACAATATGTTCTCAAATACAGTGATGGAAAGTGCATTACTATACGTAAGAACATTTTATGGGAATTTTCAAAAAATAGATTCCTCTTCAAAAAAAAAACACCTAAAAGACAAGATATTGTAAAAGATTTAATTAGGGGTTTGCAATGTTTTTGGCTTTTAACCTTTAAAGTGTCCAGTTGTCTTCCTTACTGTATAGAAGTACTTACAACCAGCTCCACTTCAACCAGCTAAGAAAATACTACTTACACACTGATGCACCAGTAAATACAATCTAATAACGTCATAAGGAATATTTTACAGCAGAACCTTAATGAATGCCTTTATTGTCATTGCACACATTTCATGTTACACTTTCCATAGTAATACAAACAAGATTTTAGTATAGTAGAGTTAAAAAATACACTTAACTACTACTCTAAGTACATTGCTGACATTACTTTTGTACTGTTGCTTTGATAAATTAATAAATTCTTGACTTTTACTTGTAGTGGAGTATTTTTTATGTAATGTTCTGTTCACTACATGAAAGGATCTGAGTTCTTCTTCCACCTCTTATAATAAATATACAAATACTCTGTTTTCAATTTGTAACTTTAATGTAATGTTCAGGCTCTTTTCTATAACATTAATATTCCCTAAGTAATGTGAATCCACTTTAGATGTTTATGTCATAAAATACAAAGATTCATCAAATGATGGGCACTTCTTAAGTCAAGTTACTGGTTATTCTGTATTGCCTTATCGACCATTTTTTACACAACATTCACTCAACTGCAAGCTTATTCACCAGATGTAAAAACAAACAAAAATGAAAATGAAAAAAGCTTTCTCATACTTTGTTGACATTGTCATTTTCAGAGTATGGCCTCTACAATTAGCCTTCTCCCCGAGAAGCACTTCCTGTGCTCTCTGTGTAGAGACATCTTCACCAGCCCGGTGACCATACCGTGTGGACACAGCTTCTGCTTGTCCTGTCTCAGCCACTACTGGACACGACACCTGTCCAAATACTGCCCGCGCTGCAGGAGACTGTTTAGTGACAGGCCTGACCTCAGCGTCAACCGCATTCTGGCAGAAGTCTCAGATAACTACAGGAAGACTCGACCAGAGAAACCAACTGATGAGGAAATGGTACATCATTGCATTTGTCAGGGATTCAATCACAAGTGATCCGATTATCAATACAACTAGTTTATATGTGTATGTCACTGTTACAGGTTATAGATGTTGAGCAAATGATTCAGGAGAGGCAGCAGAAGGCAGAAAGATTGAAATATGCTCTGGAGCTACAAAAGGTGCGTTTAAAACCTCTACTCTCATTAACAATCTCTGTTTAACAAAAATGTGCATACGTATAGTTGAATGTTGATACATGATGGCGTCCAATCAGAACTCCTACCTCAGAGAGGTGCGAGAGAGCCAGAAGGTCTTTTCTGCCCTCGTACACGCTATGGAGAAGAATCACAAAGCCGTGGTTGACGCAATTGAGGGGAGACAGAGAGAGGAGGAGAAGAAGGTAGAAACATTGGTGAAGGAGATCGAACAGGAGATCCAGGAGCTGAGGAAGGAGAACACCGAACCCGACCCCCTTATTCCTGTAAAAAGTGATCAAGATGACGATACGGACCAAGTTATCGTGGTAATCGCCTTCACCTTCTGTAGATGATGCAATGGTATTGGTGACTGGCTTCCATCCGTGAAAACTTTGTTTGTGTCGTGCAGAACAGTGTTCCCACTGTGTGCCCCTCTGGGATGAAGGACTGGTCCAAAGTTACCATAGAAACTGACCCATGTGTTGGGGTCACCAGACGAGCACTGGCAGACATAATGGAGAAGATTAAGGTAGAAGTCAACAGGCTCTCCAAATCTGGTGAGTAATGCAACTTTTGTCTTGTGTATTAAATCATTAAATGAGCATTCTACAGTAAATTCGTTTTTTTTCTTTTTGGCTCTTCTTTGACAGAACTCAAGAGAATAGAGAAATACATAGGTAAGGCTTTGTCCACACAGAAACAAATATAAAGGGATGTACACACATAAAACATGGATGATTTGACCCGTTCTTGACGTTTTCTCTTCCCTCTTTATTAGTGGATGTCAATCTGAGCGCCAAGACAGCCCACCCCTTCCTCTCCGTCTCAGATGACAGAAAAGAGGTGAGACATACGGACAAGCTTCAAGAGGTACCAGATCACCCCAAGCGGTTCAACCGCGTGGCAAACGTGCTGGCCAAAGAAAGCTTCAGCGGCGGGAGGTGCTACTGGGAGGTGGAGGTCGGGGAGAAGATTGAGTGGAATCTGGGTGTTGTCAGACAGTCCATGAACAGGAAGGGCAAGTTCTCTATCTGCCCTGCAAATGGTTTCTGGACTTTAAGCCTGAAGGCTGGAGGCCAGTTCATTGCCAACACCTCTCCTGTCACGCCGTTGGCTCTAGAGCAGAGACCCAGGAAGGTGGGCGTGTTTCTGGACTACACTGAGGGCCGCGTGTCCTTCTACTGCGCAGAATCTGGAGTCCACATTCACACCTTCACAGATGCATTCACTGACAGGCTTCATCCGTTCTTCAGTCCCGGTCGCCTGCATGGCGGCAAAAACAATGCTCCCCTAATCATCTCTTCTAGTTTCTGCAGCATCTAAGCATTCGTGTTTTTATTTCTATATTTATAATTCTCCAGTGTAACTACAGTTGTTGTGCATGTGATTATCTTTTCAGTATCAATCCAGTGTGTCAAATATATCTATTTAATGACAAATCCATATGAAAAACTACAATGAACCACACTTTCCCTGTCAGAACAGTGAACAAGAGGTTGAATAAGGACTGACTCACTCGAAAAAGTTCAATGAAAGCCATAAACAGATTGAAAGGGAAAGAGGAGGGTAGCAGAAAAAGAGAAGACTCTCATAAATGAACAAGTGAGTCAAAAAGAAGAGAACATGGGTTGCAGAGTTGGATGGACGTGAGGGGCTGCGGGGTTGGGACAGAGGTTGACGAGGAGCAGGGAGGGAGGGCACAGCCAAACAGCAGGGCATTGTGCTCGTACGCCAGGCACTGGGAGACACACTCAAACACATTCACTCATTCACACACTGACACAGTCGTCCACACAAGCGCATGCTTCTGCCCACCGCCACACAGACTTGCGCTGGCATCTCGGAGGGCAGCCCCATCTCCAGTCCAGTCCTGGGTGTCCAAGCCGATCGACCCGCTCTACTTCACTTCACCTGACCTCTGAGACGGAGTCTCCCTTTTTCTCCAGCCTTTCTGGGGACTGAACTGAATCCTCAGGGCCGTCTGTCATCCACAACTCCAGGCATTGCAACTGATCAACACAGGCAAAGGACCAGCAACACTAGCCTGTTGACCAAGGGGAGCAGCGAGAGTCCAATATACTTCTTTTGAGGTAAATATCCATAAATTTCTCAAAATGTCAAAATAAATTAGACTGAAAACCGATACATTTATGAGGAATGTGATGGGTTTGATGGAATATATTGACTGTTCCTAGTTGTTCGTGTATTGTATGTTTGGCTGTATCACAATTTAATACAGTAACACGTATTATAGTCTCAGTTTTAGAGGCAGGTGTATGGATCATTCGTGCCTCATTTGCGATCATTTCCTGAAAAGTATCCCAATAGACAGAGTCGTTAGTAGTATCAAAGATAAGGCATAGTTTTTGAAAGTGGGGTCTTCAGGGGCCTTTGAGGGACTTCATGAATTTGTGCACAATATTTTATAAAAGTGGGAGAATGTGGGTCTGCCAGACTGATTATTCTGGCTTCAAGGATTCGTATGATCCATTGTTATCTGCCCACTTACAAAACAGACTGTTCCACTTTATTCATATCAAATCAAATAAAAAATATGTCAGATTGTTTTTTTATTTGATACATGTTTATCTAAAAGGGGGCCAAAGGCTAAAACTTATCCGTTTGACATTTCCCCATCCATCCATGTCATGGAGCCACCCCTGGACTGATTGTGCAGGGAGGGTTTGATTCACAGAATTGGTGAAATGTGGACACTGAGAGCAAAGATAAATAGATGACATAGGTCCTCCTGGCCCACTCTACAAGCCCTCATGAAAGATGCTTGTGTTCAGAGTCTCCTCATGTTTTTCTGAGATAATCCACTCACCAGGCAAGGCGTAGCTCGACACCCACAGCTGTGTCAAAGACGGCTATTCTCTGTGCTTCTCACTGGAATCCACTAAACATGGGCCTCGCATCCCGTTTCCAAATATTTATGATAAATATATGCTCCATAAGTCTTTTCATATGTTACTAATATAATGCTCGTTGTTCCAAGTGGTAGGAAGTTATAAATATTTATTTTGTAGCACTATTTGTGTGATGGATAAAAAAGTATCAAAAAAATGTTTTTCTTTGTTATTTTCTGAACTCCAGGATACCTGTCGTTGTCTGACCCAAGCTAAACTCAACACCATCATCACCTGAGGATCCTGCAGTGGAGCACAATATATCCAGTACTGTAGACTGTCACATTTCTTTGTGGGACTATAAGTTGTCCCTCTGCGACAAACAGAGACTGAAATAAAAACAAAGACAAATCCATCTGATTCAAACAACACCTTTCAAAATGGCAACCACGGGCATGCAGCTGCTGGGCCTAATCATGTCCCTTGTGGGGTGGGTGGGTGGGTTTGTAGTCTGCATCATCCCCCTGTGGCGGGTCACTGCCTTCATCGGTAACAACATAGTGACGGCTCAGATCATTTGGGAAGGCCTTTGGATGAATTGTATAGTGCAGAGCACGGGTCAAATCCAGTGTAAGGTGTATGATAGCTTGTTGGCTCTGCCCAGTGACATGCAGGCAGCCCGAGGCCTCACCGTCTTCTCCATCCTGATGTGTGGCCTGGCCCTGGCTCTGGGGGTCCTCGGAGTCAAGTGCACTAAATGCATTGGTGTAAACAGCGCCAAGGCCCGAATTGCTCGCATCTCCGGCGCCCTCTTTGCCATCGCAGGGTTCCTCTACCTTGTACCCGTCTGCTGGACTGCCCACTCCATCATCAGGGATTTCTATGATCCACATGTGGCGGCCCCACACAAGCGTGAGCTTGGCCCTGCCCTTTACATCGGCTGGGGGGCATCAGGCCTGCTCCTCATTGGGGGATCTCTGCTCTATGCCGGGTCAAGTCCCCCTGGCCTCCCAGGCTCTCCCACCTTCAGCAGTGGGGAAAGTAGTCCTCGCAGGGCCGCCTCACAAGTCAAAGGCTATGTTTGAGTATCCAAAATGTCTGAATGCCTTCAAGTCCCACAAATGCATCCCAAACGGTGACAAACCTGATTCCTGTCCTTTTGAATTTTGCTCCTTGTAATTATTTTATATTTAATGTTTTTCCAGTTAGTTTTTTTCTCTGATAAGCCACAGGAAGCTGTTTAGCAAAAATTGAACTCATTTTATTATTTCATACCCGATATTGTTCAATAACCTTGTTATCTGTCTGTCAGTGTAAAACACAATAAAAGTTTTGGTCCTCCAAATTGTCTAGTGAAGCAAATGGTGTGTGTTCACATTTGTATGATAACAGATATAAGATCTAACAACTGCATGTGCTTGAGAGAAGTATTGTAGTAGTTTTAATAAGAAAATCTTTGTTTTGTGCCTTTATGTAAACACTACTATGTGGTTATACTGAGTGGAGAAGAACAATAGAACAATGGGGATGTGTGTACATTTCCTTGTGGCTCCACATAAGTGTGTGTGTCTGTGTGTGTGTGTCTGTGTGTGTGGTCTTCCATCTCCTATCTTCCATCTCCTCTTCCTTGTACCAGGGGCAAAGAAAAACACATCTTTCTTTCATGACATAAAAATCCTGGGATTCTGTCAGTTCACAACAAGTACAGCAAACCAGACTCTCTTAGCAAAAGTGATCTCAAAGTACCTCCTCCTCTTTGTCAAATCACAACGGACCAGCCATCCCATCACCTATCTTGGACATCCAAACCGATATGATTTTATCTAACAAACAGATCAACACAGAATGTGCAAGTTTGTAACACGTGTGTTCCTATCTGTCAGTATTTCTGTCAGAATCTCTGTATTCCTTTTGTTTGAAGTAAATGATCATCCACAGAGAGTTTCAAAACCAAAGTCAGTGAATTAAAATCATTACAGACCCTTGAACTTTGGTTACTGTACATGCTGACTCTGAATTTCATTTTCTAAGCTATATATTTTTAAACTAGATTAACTGCATAGAAGGTTCACCGTGGTATTTGCTTTATATTTGCTGTAACAGTAAAATGATTTCTTTCTTATCAGCAGAGGACAGAGCAACACAATGACACTTTATAGAGCATTACAGCACCACAATAACAATGGGCACCAGTGTTCCAAGTGCCAGGTAGTGACTCATACATGACCTAAGTAGGCCTATACCAATGCTGGGAGAGTAATGCTGTGAATACAGTAAGGCAGACTGTGCTATTTAACACAACAACAGGGGAAACGTAGAGCTAGACAAGAGCACTATATCAGTATCTAAGCAGCGTATTAAAGAGAATCTTAAATATCAGGCTGGAGAGCAGTGCCTGGCTGTCCTCTCTTGGTGAAAGTTTTTAAGCCTGTTTCACTCCTAAGAACACTGATTAGGTGAGGACAGAAATAGGTGTACTGTATGCACCTGTAGCCATTGCCATCAGTGATGTCACAGAGTGCTGGAGTACACTTGTGCATCACTGCATCAGTGGAGGTCAGGAAAAACAAGATTGTCAGAGGTGTTCATTTACCCTTCAGCTAATTCTAACAAGCCTATTTATCTAAAGTTGAGTAGTTTAATTTACTGCTCAACAATTCATCATATTTCATATAATCACAGATTTCTAAAATCTTAATTTTGCATTTTAACTGGTATAACTCACATACTGTAAATGTAGTAGAGTAAAAAGTAGGCAACACTATTTTCTTTTGAAATAGTATCTAACTTCACAACTGTATACTGCTACTGTAAATGTGCTTCCACCTCTGTCTTCATTATTATAACATTAATATTTATATTTGACGTTACACCTAGTTCTTCACTACTTGCGTACACAACAGTCCTGTATATTATGTTCCTTGTCCCTGTGTTGTTATTTGTATTTATGTGTCAGTAAAGAGATGCAAAAAAACCTGTAGTCAAATTCCTTGTATGTGCATACTTGGCCAATAATGCTGATTCTGTCAAATGTACTTGCCATTGTCTTTGTCAGTCGCTAGAGGGAGAAAAAAACCCGCTGCATGTTGTTGTTTCTACACCGGAAGTGGGAAGTAGGAAGTGCCGTACAGCTGTGCTCCGTGGCTAACAGAGAAGCTAACAGAGAAGCTAACCCTCAGCGGTGAAGATATCCGGGACTCGTTCACCAAACAAGACGCCTCGACAGCTACTTTGAGACTTTGAATCTAAGATGGGAAAGGGTGGCGGTACATTTGAGAGGCTTCTGGGTGAGTTATCAGCACATTGGTGAAGTTAGTAGTTTATTAGCCAACTGTGAGTCAAAGTGCGTTTTGTTTTCTTCGTCCAGCGTATTGTTTTGACAGACGCTGGGGCTGTGGCTCTCAGGCCAGCTAATTTTAGCCTGCTAACAATCTCGCAGCTATTGTTCTGAGGCCCAGACAGGCTCACTTAAATCCACCAGCCCGATTAAATACATTTACGATCTTATTTGTCCGTTTTTCCCCCTCACGTTACCCGTGTGTTATCTCGTGCTATTAGCCAGGCTACACTGATGGTTTCCTTCTTATGTTCATTACCTCACACTCACGATACTATGTTAACGTTAGCTCGTGATTTAACGTTAGTAATAACCTTACTGCACAACATGACTCGGCTGTTTTAAGGAAGCAAGCGGCACAACAATGGCATTTGTGAGATTAGCTACTTATGACTTCTATTGTTGTCCTAAGTTGTTGTTTTTTAACTCCACAACAGGTTGATTAGCTCCTACACTAGTCCTCGTTTAGATCCTTTCTATTCAAATACAGCTGGCAAAGGTAACGTAAGGTGGCTAATTAGCTTAGCTTTCACTCGCCCTACCCAGGAAAAAAACAACTTTGAACTTCTATTAATTATTGGCAGACACAATTTCGTATTAACACACTTCTTCCTTGTATTTCCGTTGATATTGATGTGTAGATTGGTATAACTGACACCCAGCTGATAAACAGCTCTCTGTGCATGTTGTACATTATCTTTGTTTGCTGGGTGGTGCTCTGTGCTGTGGAACAGGAATTTAGAAACATCTACCATGTAAGCCTTAAGATCAGGTACAAAACCCACCTCAAGGCCCTCATCATGTCCGTGGATAGTGTACGATAGATGTGCATGTTTCCATATTCCCAAAGATGCATTTGGTTGAATTATTACCACAAACCAATTGCCAAACAGTCGTGCTTTTTTTGGTCTGAGCCCACTGCCAAAATCAAATGTCACAACACTTACAGTGGAATCAGTAATACAACAATATTTTTAGGAATGACCGCAGGCACTCAATGATAATTATATTTGATATATATATATATATATATATATATATATATACACACACACACTTGGTTGCCGCTTTATTTTATATATATATATATATATATATTAGAAACTGTCATTAGTATAACACAATGCAAATCAACAACGTCACAAATGACAGCCTCCAAAATGACCATAAAGCTTATTGAACACCTCTCTAAAACAGTTTAAAGAAACCTGAATACTCTTCATGGAGGAAGGATTTATAGGCATTACATTTATCTAGGTGTAGCTAAGAGTGTAGATAGGGACGTTTACCCTACTTTATATCTATATATAGATACAAAGACTAGACGAACATGGTTTCCATGAAGCAAGTCTATAATAATATAATAGTAAAAATACATATGTTATAAAGATTCAATCATCTGTACTAATTGCAGATAAAGCCACCAGTCAGCTGCTGCTGGAGACTGACTGGGAATCCATCTTGCAGATCTGTGATCTCATTCGACAAGGAGACGCACAGTGAGTGATTCTGCCCTCCACACTCATATCATCAGCTGCTGAAGTTGATTATGAGGTTTATTGTTTTTGCTGACTTAATTTATTGCCTTGAGTTTTCTATTGAGCATTATTTGTGTTTGTCCCTGCAGAGCTAAGTATGCTATCGGGGCCATTAAGAAGAAGCTGAACGACAAAAACCCCCACGTGGCCCTCTATGCTCTTGAGGTAACACGTGTGTTCAGTGGACAATGTGCAGCTGTCTTCTGTCATTCTTTCACTTGTTTTTTGTGAGAAAAGCTTCTTTGGTGAAATGTGCGTAACAACATAGTTGGCGTAGTGAGTGATCATGACGCCTCACCCTTCAGGTCCTGGAGTCGGTGGTGAAGAACTGTGGCCAGACCATCCATGATGAGGTGGCGAGTAAAACAACGATGGAGGAACTGAAGGATTTACTCAAGGTTACCCTTACTTCATCACCCTGTTCTGTTTAATAGTGCGACTCTGTATTGTGTAAACAAGCAGTGGGAAGTTTGGATGCAGTGTTTTGTTCCACAGACCGGGGGATTTGTCTTATCACGTCAGGCAGCCGGCTGCAGGACAGCGTGAGCTAGCAATGCTTGATTGGCTCTTTGCTTCGTCATGTGACTTTAGCTCCTGCAGCCCATGCTGGTTTCCACTTCCTGATGATGTCATAGCCTTGTGACAAGAGTTGTTTTTTTTCAGACCAGAACAAGGGACTTCCCACCTCCTGTTCTTGTTACCAAACACCGACGTTGTTTGATTCAGTGTGTGTGTGTGTGTGTTTGAAAAAGCTCACTTGTACCAATGTTATTTGACAACAGAAATCTATATATATAAACTCAAGAGGGATTGTTGAGACTTTTTTTTATTTCACTGTGTGGTTCTTTTACCACCAAAAACAGACGGAACCAAATGTCAGAAACAAGATCCTGTACCTGATCCAGGCCTGGGCTCACGCCTTCCGCAACGAGCCCAAATACAAGGTGGTCCAAGACACTTATCAGATCATGAAAGTGGAAGGTGAGTGGACACATGCGGTGTTTTTACTTTGTTTTCTTCCCACCGAGCTTTGCTGAAAGATAAATGTTTCCCAGTCCTGTTGTGGCTACAATTACATTTAAAATAAGCACATTCAGATTTGTGTATTTATGCAATTACAATTCCAGCTAATTACTAATTTGTAATAATTGCTTAGGTCGTCTGTGATCTCAATGCTGTACGAAGCTGCCATGTTTGTCATTTTTCAAGTGAAAATTCCACCGCAAAAGCTGCCTTGCAAGTTCTACATTTCTAAATCCCATGAGGTCTTGTAATGCACTACTAGTATCACACCGTGTGTTTAACAGGTCTGCTTTTCTTTTCTCACAGGTCATGTGTTCCCCGAGTTCAAGGAGAGTGATGCGATGTTCGCAGCTGAGAGAGTGAGACATTTAGTTTTTCTTGTTTCGCTGACATAGAGTCAGGGATGTTTCTATAGTTTAGTCTGGTGCTGGTCATTGGCGCTGATCTATTTAGAAGAGGAGATGATTGTGCACAAAGCTACAGTGACCACAGCTGTAGTGATATGTGATGTCTGTGTGCACGGTCCAGGCCCCTGACTGGGTTGATGCTGAGGAGTGCCACCGGTGCAGAGTCCAGTTTGGAGTTATGACGAGAAAGGTAGGCTGGGCTTTCTTCAAACTAGGGCACTTGGGAGATTTTATGGTTTTCCTTTTTTCCATTTACAGCCGTACGTGTGCGAGTGGAGTAGATGTTTATGGCGCATGTAAGGAAGTTGACCTCGATTTGTGTTCTTTGCTCCTCCAGCACCATTGTCGAGCCTGCGGCCAGATTTTCTGCGGCAAGTGTTCGTCTAAGTACTCCACCATCCCAAAGTTTGGCATAGAGAAGGAAGTGCGTGTGTGTGAGCCCTGCTTTGAGCTGCTTAACAAGTGAGTCCCCACATCTCTCAGAGCGTGAAGTATGGATGGTGGCTCTGAACAGTGTCTCTCTACCTAAAGAGCTCTGCTTCATTAGCTGCAGTATGACACTGGCACTGTATATTATTTTGTTGCTCCAGTTATGCTGTATATACTTTGGTTGCTGAGCCTAAGTATGCACTGGTTTTGGATTATATTTTGTTCCTGATCACTGCAAGGCTTGATAGCTTCTTGGTTTAGTGTCAAATATTTACAAAGATTAAATCCACTGTCTTCTTTGCACGCCCTTGTCCATGCGTGGAATTTCATTTTGTGTGGAAACTTTTCTTTTTTCTTTCACAAGCTCCCCCAAGGAGTGGATTATTTTTAGCCCAGTTTGTTTGTTAGCCATTTATAATGCATTCTATCACAATTTAGAATTTGCTGATTTGTTATTTAACACTTAGATGAAACCTGGAAAAATCTAATTTGATATGCCATAACCTCTTTAACTGTTTGTATGACAAAAACACCTTTAATTTAAGAACACATTGTGCACTTTCAATGGTCTATGTATAGACCAACTTTAAGCAATGCTGCAAAATAAACCTGTTAAACCTTCGGACTATAGAGTATAGGTATGTGTGTTTGCAGCATTGACAGAGGAATGTCTTTTCTTCTTAGTGTCTCCGGCAGAAGAGGAGAGCACTCCTCTAACTGACAATGTTTTTTATTCCTCCCCGATCCTCTTTTCTTTTCCAGCCACCCCTCCCTCTCTCCTCCACTCAGGAAAGCTGAAGGGAAAGCCCCCACCCCAGGCCCTGCAGAGCTGCCTCCCGAGTACCTGACCAGCCCGCTGTCTCAACAATCCCAGGTAGAAGTAAAAAATGAGATGGCTTAGTCGATGGTGTAACCAGTTATAGTTGAAATGCATTTTGTTGAGGATAGGAAGTGGAAATCAAAGGACTCCCCCATAGGAAAACAGATCCCCATGGCTTCATCAGGCTCTGTATAAGAATATTTTTTTCACTCATCCAAATATTGTATATTATTCGTATATATATTGTAGTTTGTGGGCTGTTTCTGGATCCTACAATTGCTCTGCTCTCTCACTAGGTGCCTCCCAAGAAAGACGAGGCAGCCCTGCAGGAGGAAGAGGAGCTGCAGCTGGCCATTGCCCTTTCCCAAAGCGAGGCCGAGGAGAAAGAGCGCATGGTGGGTTGCACAGCTGATATTTTTGCTTTGTATTTTGACTCTAAGGAGACAGTGATGCATGCCTGTATGTATTCTTACAGAGACATAAGAACTCCTACTCAATGTATCCCAAAGCTGATCCCACTCCAGTGACTTCCTCCGCTCCACCAGTCAACTCGCTCTACACCTCCCCTGTGGTGAGACCTCTTCTCAGGCTGCCTTTCTCTCTCTGGCAAAATGAATTATTTACTCTACAAGTTCTGGAAATATATTTTTGTCACTGACCAATGTGAACTATACGCTCTCTTCAGAACTCCTCTGCTCCATCAGCTGAAGATGTAGACCCCGAGGTACATGTCGCATCCTTCTCTTCTTCAATACCTGCATTATAATACACTAGTGGGAATTTTACTTCTTGCTTGTAGTGCTGATGGTAATGTGTCACATTATTCCAGCTGGCTCGCTACCTGAACAGAACGTACTGGGAGAAGAAGCAGGAAGAGGCTCGCAAGAGTCCCACCCCCTCAGCGCCGGCCCCCGTGCCATTGGCTGAGCCGCTTCCACCACCACCACCACCAATCAGTCAGCCAGTAGAAAGTCATGTCCCTGTCCAGCCGGTCAGCATTGTGGAGGTATGTTGACGCTCTGTGCTGAGAGCCCATGTTGGTTGTTTTATGTCTAGAAAAACCACAAAATGACTTTCTGTGTTTTGCTTCCCTCTCGTCTCCGTCCTTCAGCAGCAGTACCAGAACGGCGAGTCGGAGGAGAACCACGAGCAGTTTCTGAAGGCTCTGCAGAACTCCGTCACCACCTTCCTCAACCGCATGAAGAGCAACCACATGCGCGGACGAAGCATCACCAACGACAGCGCTGTGCTCTCACTCTTCCAGTCCATTAACAACATGCACCCGCAGCTGTTGGACATCCTCAACCAGCTAGATGAGAAGCGATGTGAGTGTTAGCATGAGTATGAGTGTGTGTGTGTGTGTGTACCGATGCATTTCCGAGTGTCCCAGTCCCTGAACTATTGTGTCACGTATGCCGTCCGCAGTATACTATGAGGGGCTGCAGGACAAGTTGGCTCAGGTGCGTGACGCTCGGGCCGCCCTCAACGCACTCCGGGACGAACACAGAGAGAAGCTGCGTCGTGCCACAGAGGAAGCGGAGCGACAGAGGCACATCCAGCTGGCGCAGAAACTGGAGATCATGAGGCAAAAGAAACAGGTGAGGAAATAAGGCTCTCCATGGAAAAATGCACGTGTTGACATGCTATTCACTACCATGCTCACAAGTGTTTTTGTCTTTGACCTGCAGGAGTACCTGGAGATGCAGAGACAGTTGGCCATCCAGCGTCTCCAGGAGCAGGAGAAGGAGAGGCAGATGCGTCTGGAGCAGCAGAAGCACACGATCCAGATGAGAGCCCAAATGCCTGCTTTCTCTTTGCCCTACGCTCAGGTACGCACCGCATTTAGGATTAGCAAAGGTCATCGAGAGGGTATCTCCCACTGCAACACGTTGGCAAGACACACAGGCCTTCATGTTACATAATGTATTTATTTGGTTTTGACATCTAACTAAAATGGTGATTCGTAACTCTTTGGGATTAAATGTCTGATTATATATGTATGTGCTGTTACGCAGATGCAATCTTTGCCCCCCAATGTGGCCGGAGGGGTGGTGTACCAGCCTGGTGCTCCACCCAGCTACCCGGGTACCTTCAGCCCTGCTGGTTCTGTGGAGGGGTCACCTATGCACAACATCTACATGAACCAGCCTGGGCAGACTGCCCCACCACAGTACCAGGCCATGCCCAATGCTGCCCCAGGTGAGAAGGCGTACTTTTGATAGCTTCACAACTAGAAAACCATGAATAACATGTTTTTCAGTGTATTCCAGTGTGCTGCTGTGTGTGTGTGTGTGTGTGTGTGTGACTGTCCTCTCTTCCTCCAGATCCCAACATGGTAAATGCATACATGTACCAGGCTGCAGGCACTAACGGGCAGCCTGCTCCTCCTCCTGGTCAGGCTCCGCCCACAACTAGTCCACCCTACTCCAACTATCAGCCCACACCCACACAGGGCTACCAGGTCTGATTGATTCTCTTTTCACGATTTAAAAAAAAAAAAAACTACAGCCAAAAAATATTCAAAGAGAAATAATTAGGCCACTCAATGTTGTCCTTGTTCTGTGCAGAATGTGGTCTCTCAGGCCCAGACTATGCCCCCGATGCCCCAGCCTGCCCCAACCAACGGTATGGGTTACATGGGCTACCAGCCATACCCCATGCAGAACATGATTTCAGCATTGCCAGGACAGGACCCCAATATGCCCCCACAACAGCAGTACATGCCAGGCCAGCCGCCCATGTACCAACAGGTCAGCCGCTTTTTACTTCTTCCTTCTACGTTAATGATTTATTCTTGATTTTTACATTTTAAAGTTAATTCAATCCTCCCTAATTCTCTTATTTTAACCGTCACCATTTATCTTGCTAGGTGGCTCCCCCTGGTGGCCCGCAGCAGCAGCAGCAGCAGCCGCAGCAGCCGCAGCAGCAGCAGCAGGTCCCTCAGGCTGTGCCCGGCAGTGCAGAGGCACAGCTCATCTCCTTCGATTGAAAGCCTGCATGCTGCAGAGTCTAACACACTACACCCTCTCTCCTCCTCCACTTTCCGGACTCTCTGCTCTCTGGAAACACACACACCTCTTCCACCTTGCTGTGATGTTGTGGCAATGTAAGATATTGTGATGATGTTGCAGAACTGTCGCCCTCCTTGCCTCTCCCCCACTAATGCAGGGTGAAGCTGCAAGAGAGGGCACCATAACCGTTTCACCCTCTTCCTCCCTCTTTCCAGCTGATATGTATGTAGTATTTCCTTATTAAATGAATAACTGAAGGTCAGAAATAGTCAGTGGTATTAAAGTAAGAATAAGAATAAGAAAATATGATCATAATTTAGGACAAAAAAGACAAGACATAACCATTCTTTGTCTCATATTGTTCTAAAGCAAAATCCGCATGTTAAAGTTTCATTATTTTCTGAAATGGAAGTGAATTCGACGTATCCTGTCACTTTGGGCAGTGATTGAGAGACATCTTTGCGTGCTGTTTAAGAGATTGTGGGCGTGAGGATGAAGGGTAAAGCACAGTGAAGAGGCCTGAAATATGTGGCACTAACTCAAATCTCCATCGTGTTCACAGCTTGCCACTGCAGCTGTGGGTTCCATCTTGTTTTGGCATTCATTTGTTGTGCACTGCTTGGATTAACAAAGGTCTTTATGTCGTTTCTTAAATAATGAAACTTATTTCAGGGATTGGACATTGTGGGACTAGTGTTATAAAATTAGCTGGGTGGTTGTTTAATCCTCAATAAATACACTTTCATAATTTAAATAATTTAAATGACACAGCTAGTGACCATAGACAAAGTAAAGCTGTACAGTAGCTCTAGCGGCCCGCTTCTCTTTATTAAAATGATTTGTGTTGCAGATAAAAGTACTGCCACATGATAAAACTGAAAGAGAAACAGTACGTGAACCTATTATTAACTGAAAATGACCCCCAGGCACCCCATCGCGTCTGCATTCGGTTGTTACTGTCACAGGTGAGGACATCTACGTAGTAAATAAAGGTGGGGGCTCGTTTCTAAAGTGTACTTTGCTCTCCAGAAATGTGGAAATGCTTGCAGAGCAAACATTATGTGCCGCATGTATGTATCACGCACCCAATCGGTGATTTCTGTAACCCTTCAGTTGCCATCTGTGAACTTCTTTATTCCATCATACTGATCTGTCTGACTTTAAAAGTAATTTTAAAATTATATTTAATAAATATCTGGTTCTTATTGTCAACTTGCTTTCACTTGGATTTTTTTTTGTGTGTATAATTTAAGGATTGAAAAAGAAAGAGGTGTGACAACTTTTATTCATGTAAATATAGTGTTCCATGTCACATTCATTCATGTTTCAATAAGAAGGGTAAAGGCCATAACACGACATGGATGAGTGATATGATGAGACGTACTTTAACATAGTTTCGTGCATAAGTATACGAATTGTGCACTTTGGCTTCTTCATAGTTTTCTGAAGATGAGGCATTTGTGGTATTCTTCCATCTCGATCTGGAAATGAAAAACGATACGGGTGTGAAAGCTATCATGAAGTTATTCCCAGGTATTGTTACCCGGTGCTGAAGTATGTGACTCACCATCCTCTCCATGCGCATCCCGTTCCCGTAGGCCAGCTGTCTCAGCACATCGATGTCTGGAAGACCCCACTCTGGATTCCTGTGTAAAAAAGCATTACAAATATCAGTTGGACGCGTATTGTTGCCATGTTGCATTAGGGGAAATAAACTCACATTTGTCGTAGCTCTGCATCCAGGTGTTCGTTACAACTCGGTGTGATGGTGCCATTGATGGCATACACCTGGAACATGTTTAAGATTTGGAAATGTGTCAACTTTTGCACTTCACACACTCATGATGACATCATAGTATTTTGAGTGCATAGAAACTTTCTGACTTCTGGTACGAACCGCATATGTTATCAAAAGGCCATTTTGTCTGAGGGTCTGACCGGCTCCAGTGAAGACACCCTAGGGAAATTATTTTAAAAAATGATTATGAAACAGGTTCTGGCACAGCCTTCACAAAATATTATCAATTATTTAGCTCATACTCTTGTTTTAAAACAAATGGATAAGCAGGCCTACCTGTGCTGTTTGAAATGAGCTGTATTGCAGTAAGTTAATGGCAATAATAACGTCACAGGAGTTGCGAGAAAGGCCGGCCCATTTCTCCCACGGTTCGCTGGCATCCAGGTGGACAGGCTGCAGCACATTCTTTGTATAGGTTGCAGCAATGTATTCCTTAATACTGTAGGTGAGTATGCAGACTTAATCTTACATGTGTACTTCAATATGAAATACATGAATCACTTGCTACTATTTCATATCTATATAACTGAAAAATGCAAAACCACAAAGCTTACTGTCACACACAAATAGCCAGCATAACTATCGGAAGCCTTTTCCTGTAAGACACAAACCTGTCCCGAGACTCTTCTTTGATGTCTGATGGCTGCCAGGTAACAAAGGGCATCTTCTGGGCAAAGCGTATGACATGCTGCCCTGTTCCAGAGCCCAGCTCTAAGGCGAACAGCTGCCTGTGGAACTGGTGCTCCAGCACTTCTTCAAGCACTAAACACAGATCCTCCCAGTTCCTCTCTGCCAGTGGAGACAACAGCATGGTCTGGAGGAGAAAAGCAGAGGGACATGTTACCCTATCATCTTGTATGCCAGTCTATGCGTTGATGTTCTGTCTCAGAGGATTCCTCTTACCTTAACTTGTGCTGGTTGACAGAAACTAGCTGGCAAATGGCATATTGGTGGAGACTGAACGTGGTGGATGACTGTAACAGCAGATGGGTGCAGAGATTACCTGGTTAAGAGGATTCCCTCTGTGCTCCTCCCCAGTGTTCAGCACAGTACAGGTATGACACACAAACAAACAGAGGGACCAAGATCAATCCATACCATAAGCTTGTCTCTGAATAGCAATGCCAACCAACATGATAACCATAGTCATGCTGTGTGGGATCATATTGCATGGTGGTGTATTGTACCCGAGTATGTTTACAACCGTGAGTGTTTACTGTCACCTGGTGGTCATAGTGAAAAACTGCAACATTATAATAATATTAAATTATTATGTTGATTTATATTTATATAAACCAACATATATTATTATTATTATTATATATTTGATATTATAATAATTTAATATTATTATATATTATATGTCTGGTACAACAGTATGCGATGTATCAATGCAGGTACTGTTAACATTAGTTAGTAGTATTATCTATGAAAACACGTATTGATATCTTACACTTTTTAATAATATAATCTGTATTAAATATCAGTGGCATGCACGGATATTTATTTATACTTTTCCCACGTCCCTTAAGAGTTCCCGTAGATTTTCCTCCAGTTCACGCAATGCCTTGTGGGTAGGTCAGCAGCAGACAGGACCGAGAGGACGCCATGTGCTTGTGAGGCAGAGCGAGTAAAAAGGGGACCCGGCTGTGACAGACTTGGCTTGTTGTATTTTTAAGGCACACCGGGTGAAACGGCTCCCGTTAACGTTAAGCATGTACTGCACCAGACGCTGCCTCCGGACCGCGCTGCGGGTTGCAGCGACCTCACACCGGTACGTAACGTCAGCCCAACAGGCATCTGTCAGTCACGTCAATGGAGGCAACGGTTCACGGGTACATCACGATCTGACTGCCTGCATCTTCAAGGGCAGACAGTCGGTGACTGCTGCCGGTTATTTCGGTTGTAAAACATGCCTCTGTTGCTCGTGCGAGCACAGAAGCTGTATTTAGTCTGCAGTCATGTAACGCTTATATGAAGTATGTTAGCTAACGTTAGCTTTAGCCAGCAGGAACGTTAGCTGAACACTTGCAGGCTTTAACTGCGGAACCATGACATAAAATCTGCATTTAATCATGTTAAAACACGTTGTCCTCTCCATTAGTTTGGTGGTAAACATGTAAAACTACCATCTGTGTGACATGTTCCTCCATGAAGCAGCGAACATCACCAAGGTCACACTCGTGTGACTGGGAATTCATTCAACTAACTGCACGCTGCATCTGTTCAACTGGCTCGTTGCACTGGTCATTTACAATAACTTGAGGTTATTTGTTCAGGAACCAACCGGGTTCAACTGTAGCCCCCAGATCTGTTGGTACTGATGCCAGGCCAGTACAGCTTTGGTTCTCATCTTGGTGTATATGTAACCTCCCCAGCAAAGAGTCATAGGATATATCTGAGGGATCACAAGCGTGTTTTGACTGACCATCGATCAGTTATCAAAGTAGTGGCTTGGTTGGTCAAGTAATCAATAAATTGACATTGTTTTAGTTCTTATAAATTAATGAATTATTTTTACCTCTTCAACACCCTAAAAAGAATAATCATTTGAACTGGTCTCAGATAAGTGCACTCATGTAGACCGAATTGTTTTTAATCGGGGTCTCAAACGTTCATAATGTGCCAGCTGATCACAGGTAGACCAGCGTGAATACATCATGATCCAGTAACTTAAGCCACATTATGAACAACTGATCAGTGGTACATTGTGAATGCATCCACTGAATACATGTTGCAGAATGAGAAACACTGCCTAAACATTCACTGTGCTGATGCCAGACATGGATTGGAAGTCTGGACCATACGCTGACTGTAAACCTCATATCTTTTTGTAAGGCGGAGCACTTTTTTGATAAACGGTAGTTTCAGTTTCTGCATCGACAAAGTCTTCTGACGACAGATGCACTTCTGGATAGGCTGCGTCTTGAGCTCTGAGGACCTCAGTTAATCCATCTTCTCATTTTCCAGGCAACAGCTTCAGCGGCAAACACCAGCCTTGTGTGCGCTCAGACTTCTGAAGACCAGCCCAGCCAACCACTCAGACGCCATCGCCACCCCATCTCTCGATGGAGCAGCCAAACTGTATTCCGCCAAAATCCAACAGCTCGTCGGTGACATAGCCAGCCTCACTTTATTAGAGGTGTCGGACCTCAACGAGCTCCTCAAGGTTTGTGTGAAAAGTCCCTGAATCTGAACCGCAGTACGTCTCGTCAGACCGCTGTGGTGCATCTTGAGTGATGGTCTGGTTTTTTTTTGTTGCAGAAAACTCTGAACATTCAGGATGTTGGAATGATGCCGATGGGAGCGATGGCATCGGCTGTACCTGCTGCTGTAAGTACAGAAAGTAGACACGTTGCAATATAACTTCATCTGCTACAACACCACCAGACACCACAACTTAAAAATATATTTTTGAGTTGAATCAACACTTCTCTGCCACAGGATATTCATGTTTTTATTTACTCGTTTCTTATCGTTTTCCGTGCTCAAATTTAATTTCCCTTTTTTTTCTCTGTGTGAAACTAGGCCGCAGAAGAGGACGAAGTACCAGTCAAGAAGGAGCAGACTCACTTCATTGTAAAGTTGACAGAATTAAAGGCAGCTGAAAAAGTAAAACTTATAAAGGAAGTGAAGAACTGCATCCAAGGCCTGAATCTGGTGCAGGTAGGTCTCATCATTAGTGCTTAGTCCTTGGTATTGAGTCATCTAAAGGTAGCCATAGCTAAAGCTAAGGAATACTGTCTGCTGATTGACAGCAGGTGGCAGTAACGTGCCAATAAATGCACATTGTAGAGGACGGCTGCATGTTAGAGAACATGACTGTCATCAATGCAGATTTTAAATATTCTAGGAAACTGAAGCATTTAACACGTTTGTTCCACCTCAAGAGTACACGCAGCGTGTTAAGTTGAGAAACTTTGTTTACAAGGAAACTCCACAGGGTGTCCTTAATATTCTTTTAGACTATACTTGTATTTTCCCAGATAATACAGCTTTGTAGTTCCAAAAGTAAACCCACAATAATATGACAACAGGAAAGGTCTGTATAAAGATTTTCTTTATTTCTTATGGTGTTTGGTGTAATATCTATGGAAGTGTCATTGTTAATCTGATAAAGCAGGAATATTTCGACATCCTCTCTTTCAACACCACAATCAGACTTTCTAATATTAGTTTCTCTTTAGAAATGTATATTATTGGTTTCATATTGGCTCAGGACACTATCGTAGTTCCTGTTTTCACAGATAACACGGCACACTAAATCTTCTTTTCTCTGTCTTTCCTAAACCAGGCTAAGAAACTAGTGGAGTCTCTTCCTCAGGAAATCCGAGCCAATGTATCCAAAGAAGAGGCAGAGAAACTGAAAGCATCCCTGGAGGCAGCAGGCGGCACCGTCGTGTTGGAGTAGATCTACGTCCCCACCTGTTCTCCACCGTTTTGCTGCTCATGCACTTCATTCTTCATTCTGTTATTTCCTTTTTCTTTTTTTTTTAAACATGACAAAGAAGAGCATCCTGGGAAACAAAGAAATGCCTTCTGACATTAATACTGTCTCTTAACGGCATCAGATGGGGCAGTACAACTCGGACTGAACTTTCCAGGCACACAGCCTGCACGAATGGCCGCCCAGATGTTTGCGTTTGTTTTTGTCTGCTTGTGTGTCGTTCTGATACTTGTGAAGCAAAGAAGCTACAGAAATACTGGCCTGGCTGACCAGTATGGCAGTTGGTGAATTTTTTTGTGTGTGTATGTTTAACTTTTTACAGAAAAAAGGATTATGCAGTAGGGACACGGTTACCATTCCCTACGTTGAAGAACACCAGATACTGTATCCAGTTCAGGATGGCAGGGCTGAGTCCTTATTACTTACAGAATTGTTAATAATGTGATTAAAGTTGAAATATCCATAAATATTTGCAACATGTTGTGTGTGATTTAATGCAAACTATTGTATAAAAACTTAATGATGACAATGAAACTGTGTGTTCTGTTAAACGTATCATGACGCTCAGACTGAAAAGTTCACTGACTGTAAAGAGTGGAAGTGAATATTTTGAACTACAGTAGAGGGCATCCTGCCCTCTGGTTTTTGACCACTAGCCTGTATATAAGGTTTAAATTCACCCAAATCTGTTCCTGTCTGGGATGATGGGAAACCAGTTTCTAGTTGTTACTAGACAGGTTTATAATATAAAGGCAATCTGCATTTCAATGTGTGGACATACAGTTGTGTGAAAGTGTTTGCCCCCTTCCTGATTTCTTATTTTTTTGCATGTTTGTCACACTTAAATGTTTCAGATCATCAAACAAATTTAAATATTAGACAAAGATAACACACGTAAACACAAAATGCAGTTTTTAAATGAAGGTTTTTATTATTAAGGGGGAAAAAAAATCCAAACCTACATGGCCCTGTGAAAAAGTGATTGCCCCCCCCGCTGTTAAAACATAAATTAACTGGTTTATCACATCTTTGGAAAGCTGAGTTCAATTTCTCGAGCCACACCCAGGCCTGATTACTGCCACACCTGTTCTCAATCAAGAAATCACTTAAATAGGACCTGCCTGACAAAGTGAGGTAGACCAAAAGATCCTCAAAAGCTAGACATCATGCTGCGATCCAAAGAAATTCAGGAACAAATCAGTCTGGAAAAGGTTACAAAGCCATTTCTAAAGCTTTGGGACTCCAGCGAACCACAGTGAGAGCCATTATCCACAAATGGCGAAAACATGGAACAGTGGTGAACCTTCCCAGGAGTGGCCGGCCGACCAAAATTACCCCAAGAGCGCAGCGACGACTCATCCAAGAGGTCACAAAAGACCCCAGAACAACATCCAAAGAACTGCAGGCCTCACTTGCCTCAATTAAGGTCAGTGTTCATGACTCCACCATAAGAAAGAGACTGGGCAAAAATGGCCTGCATGGCAGAGTTCCAAGACGAAAACCACTGCTGAGCAAAAAGAACATAAAGGCTCGTCTCAGTTTTGCCAGAAAACATCTTGATGATCCCCAAGACTTTTGGGAAAATACTGACGAGACAAAAGTTGAACTTTTTGGAAGGTGTATGTCCCATTACATCTGGCGTAAAAGTAACACGGCATTTCAGAAAAGGAACATCATACCAACAGTAAAATATGGTGGTGGTAGTGTGATGGTCTGGGGCTGTTTTGCTGCTTCAGGACCTGGAAGACTTGCTGTGGTAAATGGAACCATGAATTCTGCTGTCTACCAAAAAATCCTGAAGGAGAATGTCCGGCCATCTGTTCGTGACCTCAAGCTGAAACGCACTTGGGTTCTGCAGCAGGACAATGATCCAAAACACACCAGCAAGTCCACCTCTGAATGGCTTAAGAAAAACAAAATGAAGACTTTGGAGTGGCCTAGTCAAAGTCCCGACCTGAATCCGATTGAGATGCTGTGGCATGACCTTAAAAAGGCGGTTCATGCTCGAAAACCCTCCAATGTGGCTGAATTACAACAATTCTGCAAAGATGAGTGGGCCAAAATTCCTCTACAGCGCTGTAAAAGACTCATTGCCAGTTATCGCAAACGCTTGATCACTTTTTCACACAGGGCCATGTAGGTTTGGATTTGTTTTGTTTTTTCTGTTTCAGGGCCCGTGCTCGATGAGTGATCACGAGGCGAATCAGTCTGTATACCGTTTGTTACGGTTTAACTGATTACAAAACAGTCGTTCCCTGACCGGGAATCGAACCCGGGCCGCGGCGGTGAGAGCGCCGAATCCTAACCACTAGACCACCAGGGACAGCCATGAATCAGATAACACTGTACGTTTATAAAACTTTAGCTATGAAAGAGTTCATAGCGGACTACGTTTTTTTCACAGCTGACTTCTCAGAAGAGTGTCTGGTCACCCATAGAGATCCATCCATTGGGCAAAATCCCGAGCGGTGTAGAGCCAGGCCTGGGACCTCTTCCATCGTGCTCCAGCGGTGCAGGTCGGTCTCAGTCCAATGCCCCCTAAGGGTGTCTGCTCAGCCCCATAAATCTAACCATCCTGCTCCAGGGCCAGAGGGCAGAACCGAGGCACCACTGGCCTACTTCCAAAGCCCCTAACAGGCACCTCACTCTGCCAGCCCTAACCCTAACCTTGGGGAGCCAGACCCTGACACCACCCCTAGAGCTGGAGCACCCACGGACCCCGTCCACCAGCCGGACCTGCGTACCCACTCTTAAGAAATTAAATTAATTTTTTCCGTGTCTCCAACAGCATTACAAACACATGACTTGAGTTACATAACCTGTGATGAAATGTACAGCATACATAAATAAATCTCATACAAGGGTTGTGAAAAGAAGGTTTATTGAAGCCAGAGGTCTTTAAAGTTCATATATCAACTGATCACTCCTGTGTGGTCGAGCACCAGGCAATTACACTTTTTAATACTAGGCTTTCTTTGCCCTCTGGGGGACAGTGTTACACTGACAAATAGTGTGCCTATGTTTACTGTGTATTTGTTGTCGTAATGATGCAGAATGTTAGCGCACTTGTACCAGATCATTTTTGGTGACCATTACCTAAAAATGAATATTTAAAAGTTTGTGAAGGCAAGAGGATGTTTCTTGACATTGCACTTGAAATGCTTTAGTTGGTAGTGAGAACAAGACATGATGTATTCAATAAAACAATCCACCACCACCTTGTAGATTATTTCTTTCTTTACTGAACTTCTGTCAGTCTGAGCACTGTTACGCTGCACGTGTTCAGCTGCCTGTCAGGTCTCCTCTCTCTTAAACAGAAATACTTACTTAAGCTGGCTGCTTCAGCATGTACAAGACTGAACAAAAGCTGCCAATTAAGAGCACTTTTATACAATATAACTTTGCTTTTCTGAGGACAATCAGCAGCTTTTTGTTAAACAATCTCCACGTGGAGATGCAGATGTTTGACTCTTAAATTCTGAGAAAAGAGTTGTGAGTCTTGGTTCAGCTGCAGTGTGTGGGTTGGTGGCTTCTTTCATATTGTTCCAGGTGTTATTTTCCAAGTATTGCTCCATACAATCCATCAAATTCAGCTTTAAAAGACACCTGATATTTTCCCATGCCCCCACGGTTTACGCACCACTGAGGCCGGTGTTTGAGGAATGGTAGTTGTGACAGCTTTTCTTTTTCATCCTTTGATGGGTAAAAGTAAAGAAGAATGTTTAAAAGAATATATCCAAATCAGCTGTTCTGTTGGTTATAGTTAATGGACAGGTTATATAACCCTGTTGAGTCTGTGCAAAAACCTGATCTAGTGGTGAGACAGTTATCATCTGTGGTTGTCATGGAGCTCACTGAAGGAGCGGCGTGACGACATATACTGGTAATGACACGTAATGCAGCGCATTCGTCCTTTTTCAGTGTACGTCCTGCTTTACTTTGTAGGGAAGTCACAGACGCAGGCTTACGTTTGTAGTTTCCTCTTTATCAGACACTCTATCGCTGATAGATTACAGACTGACCACTGGGCTGGGAAGCATCCACTGGGGATGCAGTCAATGATGGTAATGACCCACACACACACACACACACACACACACACACACACACACACACACAGACACAGACACCTTCTTTCTCTCTCAATCTTTGTTTATGGAAAAACAGGGGAAAGAGACTGAATTTGAGATTTCCGACTGGAATGAATGTTATTCCAGATGTTGTGGGCACATAACTAAGCACGCGAGGAACAATTATTTCTAGCTTTGACTTTAACCAGATAAGATGCTCACTGCGTATATGTGAACAAATATGCTTTGTAGCTTTTTTTGTCCCTTTGTGAGTCGTTGAAAATCGTCTGAAAACGTTTCAGTCTCTGTGAGTCTTATCAGACAGAGCATATTTCTCTCTCACACAGAAACATGGCAAAGACTAAACACAGTGTAGACATCTGTTTGATGAAAAACGGGCAAAGGACAGGCATTCAATTTCATGGTGTTGCAACAGGAGCATTAACAAGGTTTGTGTTCCACTGATATAATGGTAAACACTGATGAGATATTTGCCTCTTAATGGAAAGTCAACACCAAGACATGTTGTGACTCATGTCTCTTACCAGCATGTGACAGGATCACCTGAGAAAAACTTAAATCTGAAAAAAGCCCAGGAATTGAAAATGCTTATTTTAATGCAACTACCTGAATCAGGATATTGGTAATGTGTATTTCAAGAAATATAAATGACTAATCCTGACTGAATGTGTTTGGATCAATATATAAATTGTCAACCTCAAGATTTCTTTTGCATTTGAAAGTCCAAGTTCAGTTTAAAGAATGGCCTAGGTCCGCTGAGAAAGTTCTCCTCTTCAACTGTTTTGAAGCCTTTAAAGGAGAACATATGCTGTTTACTTCAACTGAGACTGTCCTCAGCATTCCCCATCCATCAACAGATGTTTGTAAACTATACTGAGAGTAATTAGCATCCATGTTCAAAACGTTCTGGGTCACATAATCTGTTGTAAAATGAATGAGCATGTAAAAGCAGTGTTGTGTTTTTCCCTTCAGCTCTGGTTTGATAAACCCGTATCCCGCAACAATAGCGTGCACCTGTTAACAAATTAACTGCACTACATTTTCACGTGTGTGTGTGTGTGTGTGTGTGTGTGTGATGCGAGCCAGTGGGACAACAAACAACCCAGTGATTCAAATGTTGCCTAAATTGAATTGACTGAAGTGGACA